AAGTCATTATTGTTTCGTTGTATATTATACTAAGAATTACAATCTCATAATTTATTTTATTAATTTTATTTTTAGAGAAACGTTCTTTTTCTTTTCGCCTGCGACGCACTACAGGAGATGGTGGAAGTACGCACAGCCGAAATAGTAACAACAATAGCAGTACTTGTACCAATATTAACAATAATAGATGTAATTCCCCATTAACACCAACGAACACCAGTATGAAATTGGAAGTGCCAAATACCGCATCAGTTAGTCGCCGAAGTAGCATTTACAAGAAACCTGATAAAGATGACAGTGGAATGATACATATTATACCGGATATAGACCTTCCATTAATGACATTTACTGATCAGTATAATATTGAAAAAACTCTTGCGGAGGGTTGTTTTGCTAAAATCCTATTAGCATTACATAGACCCACAAATACGACTGTAGCTCTTAAAGCTGTACATGCAGAGTTGACAACACTTAAAGAATTTCAAAAAGAATTTCATTACAACTATGAATTATCTCATCATCGAAATATACTTAGTGCCTACAATGTAGCATTTCAAACTAAAGATTATTATGTTTTTGCCATGGAACACGCGCCATATGGTGATATGGCTGCAAATCTTGGACCGAATGGTCTACACGAAAGTGTATGTAAATTGATATCTGAACAATTAAGTTCAGCACTTGGATTTATGCATTCGAAAAACTTAGTACATCGAGATTTAAAACTAGAAAATATACTTGTATTTACACCAGATTTTTCACGTGTTAAACTGTGTGACTTCGGTGCAACTACCAAAAGAAGCCTTTTAGTGCATAAGGTAAAACATACATGGACCAGTTTTGTGCCTCCAGAGGTTTTGGAAATTGTAAAAAATGAAAGATTCTTATGTCTTCCCAGTAGTGACTCATGGCAGTTTGGCATACTTTTATATAATATTTTAACTGGAAGTCCACCATGGAATTCAGCGGATTGGGTTAAGGATGCTCAATATGCTAATTTTATGAAATATGAACAGCGTAAAACCACAAAAATTCCGGACAACTTTCGTCGGTTTTCACCACGGTTGATGCGTTGCTTTAGAAAATACTTAAGTCATGATCCAGAGGACCGCTGCAAAATAACTGAGGTCACAAAATATATGAAAGACAGATGGGTCGAATGTCGCATATCAGCTTCAAAATCCGCAACACTAATTTCACCTAATCCAGATCAAGACTCATGCATATATTTAAATCAAAGAGAAGGTAGAATGTCCGCTGACGAAAATAGATCGCGAATGAAACGCATGATGTCCAGTTATGGACTTGATAACGCCATCGATCAAACAGCGGTTCGACGGCGTGTTCTCGATTGGCTTTCAACTTGTGACAATAACTTTGACCCTGAAATCGAGAGTTTAACTTTAGTAAATGTTAAGGATTAGAATTAAAATAAATTTTTAAAGATTCATTTGAAGAATATTCATTTTTATTGTACAAACATAATTATTAAGTGTATGCCTAGTCAGCCATGATATTACACATGTTCTAAAATGCAATTTGAAGCATATTGACATGTACATCATTTTCTATAATAATTTATGCAATAAGTAGATAGATGATAGACTCGTATAATATACCAAACGTATTTTTAGAAATAATATATTGTGATGGCGTAATATTAAATACCCTTGTATATACATATAGTAGGATATATTTCAATTTTATAAATTTATATTTAAGATACTATAACGATTTTGTGTAAATAATTAAAAATTAAAAATTAAAAATAACGTATGAATGAGGGAGGATGCAAGAATTGTCATTGGGTGTACATATGTATAATAGCACGTTTAGTTATAACAATATTACTCGAATCAATATGAATTCATGTA